GCTAAAAATGGCGAAAAGCAGCAAGAAATAGCGAGGAAAGCTGATTTAAATAGCTGCGAGATTTAGTGGTTTGATATAAATAACTAAGTCGACAGGCCTCTCTCTCTCTCTCTCTCGCTCTCTCTCTCTCTCTCTCTCTCTCGCTCTCTCGCTCGCTCGCTCGCTTCTTCTCTTTTCCTCCTCCCTCTTCCTGCTATTTTCGCGGTGACTGCGTTCATATTGCTCCTCTGGATAACAGCGAGCTACCTGAAGATATTTCGCCTGGAAGGAAACCAGAGAGCAAAGGTTGCGGAAGGTTGGTTTAAACTACCGACAGGAATCCAGTTGGGTATTCAGATTCCACGGATTTGCTTTCCCATTGCTTGTCAGAACTCAGAAAGCTGTGTCGTTCTTTCCGAGTAGGATATGTACGGAAGCCGTGCTGAAATATATATAACGATGCTGCGCCCTGTTCCGCCGTTGAAATAATCTCAATTTGATTTTCGTTAACGGCAGAGTTTATTCGATACTTTCGAACATCGCTGCGTTCGTCGCCCAATTTTTTTCTCTTCTTTCTGTCTTTGTTCATTAACGTCCACAGATGAGCGTTTCTCTCTCGGTTCGTTGAGTCTCGCGAAAAGCCGTAACTTGTTGTAACTTATTAATTTTCCATATTAAGTGCCGTTGAAATTAACTGTCGGATTGAAATGACGGTGAAGTAAACTGTATAGGTACTTTGCGTGTCACTGTAGTTCAGTCCATTACTTAATGTATTTTACTTAGCCCAGTTTGCGAACAAAGCGACCAGTCGCAAATGGATGAATATGCGATGCTCCAAATTCGTCAATCGCGCTCGTGAAAAGAATGAAGTGCCTCGAAAAGCCGGGATAGTGAAGTTGAATAATCGTAAAGTTTTTCCTTTAATTTAGCCGATGCGGTTTCTCCTGCCAGCTTTCTTAAAACTTCCTTTTTAGCGAACGAAGAGGAAAAGCGAGGAAGAGAACGAGAAAGAGAAAGGAAAAGAGAGGAAAGCGAGAGAGAGAGAGAGAGAGGGGGGAGAGAGAGAGAGAGAGAGAGAGAGAGAGAGAGAGAGAGAGAGAGAGCGAACGGACGGGGGAGGGGAGGTTTTGACTGTTTAATAAAATCTTTTATAGACTCACGACGTGGTGTGTCGTTTTCTCAGTGGATCAGAAACTTGGAATTTCTCCGCGTTGACAATTTTTCGAGAATTACTCCCTGGCAGTCTTCTATTAGGAGCAGGCTGCCACCGCCGCCACCTTAAGAGAGATTGGACTGTGTACTGAATCTTCCAAAAAGAACCTTTCTAGCTAAGTGGTTGGCGACCTCTCGAAGGAGCCGATGTAACGAAAATAAAATTTTGCGATTCACTTCCAAGAAGCCGTAGCTAATATCGCGAATCTTTTAATATCACGCGATGTTTCGGGAACGTAGCTCGTTAACGGAGAATTACTTTTCAACGAGTCAAAAGCGAAAGCACGCGATTACTCGATCACTTATTGCTACGAAAATGGAGACGTAACAATTACTTTTATTAGAGAATTTCGTTGCGATGAAAAATGTTCACCCGCATGTCGAAATCGAAAAAGAAGGATTATTGAAAGTCACTCTATTTTCGACGGCAAGTTTTCCGTTTGGAAATCGCTTACGAGCAATGTACCGTCAACATCATGATTCCTTATCAGTATGCGGGCTTTCAGTTTGCCAATCGTGCCACGTTTCCCAAGTTTGTCACCGAGAGGAACCCACGCGGGTATTACAGTGATTGATTCAGACTTGTCGCAAGCAAACCTCTGATCGATGGGTTCGATAAAATTGACATTAATATTATGAAATAGTAATTGAAGGAGCAAGCTTAAAGTTGATGTTATTACTTTTTCCAATAGAGATACTTCTGTCGTGGAAAAAAGTTTCGGAGAAGGAGAGAACGACTAAATTTTACACCGTGGATTTTTAGAAGGGAGAAAAAGAGAGAGAGACTCAACACGAAACTGAAGAGAAGAAAGTAAAAGGAACATATTCACGGAAACATATTTCCCAACAGCTTTAGCTCTCTCATGACGTGTCGCTTTTTCACTCGCCTTGTCACTTGCATTCTTCGATCAATTTAATTGAGCCATTAACTGTCTGATTAAACGCGTTAATTGTACTCGCGAAACAATATGAAAGTTGTTTTGCAAAATAGGTGTGTAATATGAATGGATCTCCCCACGGTAGATTAGACGTTCATTTTGCGCTCGTGCGCGGTTGAAAGTAATTAGTCAGTCTCGATACTTGGTATCAAATGTGCGCACGGGTGTGTGCTTACGGTTAATAGCGCTCAGTTATTATTCGTGACTGGTGATTTGTATTCGCGCGGGAGCGCCGGAGCAGCGGCTGAAAGAAAATACGAGGCGCGGCATTAATTCCGAGCGATTGCCTCTCACTTTCCGTGACCAATGGGAATCTGGTTTCATCTGGCTTCCACCAACTAAGCGCATATTACCTACGCATCACGCACGAA